TGGGAGAGGCATTCTGGTTTTTGATGGTTTCATTCTTGTGTTGGTTTCTTCCCATCTCGTTGGATTTACGTAGTTTCGATCTCAGGTAGCTGCTTGGGGAGGCAGCCTTTCCTTTTTCTGCCTGCAGATGTGCTGCTGGGCTGTCACAGATTCAGTGGAGCTGTTTCTTCTTTTATTTACTCAGCAAAATTAGGCCGGCTTCTGCAATGGCAGCTTCCCCTCTCCCCACCAAGCTCAAGAGTTCCTGGTCACTCTCTAACTGATGTTCTCTGTGCAAAACTCTGGAGTGAGAGTTTTTAACCTGCTGGGCTTTGTGTGTGTGTGGGGGGTGGGGACCCATTCTGCCATATGGGCTGATTCCCTGTTTTCAGTTTCTAAGGCGTGGGTGGTTCCATCCAGCCGGCTTTCTGGCTTTTGCATCAGTAAGTGCTTCCGCCTAGATCTATGCTGACAGCCCTGGTATTGGCCAAAGTTGCCGTTCTGCCCTATTCAGGCAGCTTGCTGAGGCTTTTCAGCCCGCCGAAGATCTCCTGTACTTTGGGTTGTAGAGGGCTTGGGTGGAGCTCTGTATGGGAACTGAAGTCCCAGAGGGGGAGATCCCCCAGTCCTTTGGTCGGTTGCACACACCTCCTGGCTGGGGCATTGCCCTGCCTTGCCTCTACTTGCCCTATTTGGTTTATACCTACTGTCCAACCAGATCCACAAAATGAACCTGGTACCTTGTTTGGAATTGTGGAGACCACTCAGCTTCTGCACCTCTCTCACTGGGAGCTGCTTTCTGGACATGCATCTTATTCAGCCATTTTGGGATCCCTTTTTTTTTTTTTTTAAACTACATTTACTTAGTCTACCTCCTCAAAGGTACTAATTTCATTTGTCTGATGACAAGCCAGACATTTGTATTTAAGAAAACAGTCAATCAAACAAACAACTTTAGTGATTCTAATGGGAAACCAGAACTCATGATGATTAGGTTTTAAAATAATGACACTTTCCCAACAAAATAGGACGTGATGCCATGAAATTTCTGTAAAAGAATGCTTCAAGCGTGTGTCATTTTAGGATACATTTTTCTTACTTGAACAATGGAGAAAGAGACAGATATGTGATTTTAACCTTCCTTCTATGTTGTGATTGACTTTTGTCACCCAAGCCATGAATATGAAAACATCTGTGCAGGTTTTCTGTGTGGTGTTCTCTGTATTTCCTGTATTTGAATGTTGGCCTGCCTTGCTAGGTTGGGGAAGTTCTCCTGGATAATATCCTGAAGAGTGTTTTGGAGTTGGAGGCCCAAGCATGTTCTGCATTCACAGACTACAGGCACTCACATAGAGAATGTGGCTCCTACAGAAAGAACTGTGTTCAGAAGTTCTAGAGAGTAACCCTCACAGAGTAAAGGAAGGCCCCTGGAGAGCTAGAATTGCCACAGGTTCATCAACACAATCCTAGGGAGAAAGTACCTGGTGGAAAATTTTGGAGTGATGTTAGTTTAACCTCTTTGTTACCAATAGATAAAGAAATAATATAACCCTTCTTGGTGGAACAAATGTGTGATACTTATCAGAGCCATAATATTTTAGAAAAAAAATTTTCCAAAATAAATACTCTATAGAAAGAGGAAGAATCCTTATTCTGTGGTCAAATTTCCTAATGCCTAATTAATATTTCCACAGACATCTTACTAGAAACTCAAATTTAATATGTTCAATAATGAATGAACTGTCTTTTCCGGTATCTTCTCTTGCAAGCCTCAGCAACTGGAGATCCAATTTCTCATTTGGAAATAAGATGTTTGAACTAAATAGCTCTCAAAAGGCCCTTCCAGCACTGAAGCTATAAAGTACTGGGTAATTTTCAGTTTACGACTAACAGCTTTACAATTATCTAGAACTTAATTCTTTCAAATCATTTAAAATAATTATTTTTACTGTTAATTATATTGTCCCTCTCTTTTTCAGTCTAATCAAACAAAGCAAATTCAACATAGTTGTAAATTACCATAGACCAGAGAACGACTAGTGGTTAAGTCAAGCCCAGAGAGTGGTTTACCACTTCAGGCCATGCTCAGACTTCCAGAAATTGCTGTCCTGCCTAATTCCACTAAGAATAGCAACAGAAGCCCAGAGAACTTCCTAAGCATTCCATTCCACATTATACTTCCTACTGTATTTCTAAGAGCCCTAACTAAAGCTGTTTCTCTTATGAAGATGGCAGAGTTCTTAGTTTAGAAGAAAGTAATAGTCTCATAGAAGTACAGCTCCACACAGTATATCTCAGTGCATAGCAGACTGGCCTAGTAAGGGCAAGCTAAATGCAGGGAGAAAAAAGAAATAGCCCACCCCATGCTCAGCTGCTGGGAAGCTTTCCCACAACCCCCATCTCCTACTCTCTCTGTGATTACAGAGGATCCAAGGGCTTTATTTGTATATCAGAACTTGAAATAAACCTTGAATACAGTTCTAATGGGAATACTGAGAGGAATTTTAGTGTTCTAATACTTTTACTTTCCAAACATCTTCTGGAATAGACATCAAAGTAAGACTCCATATCTTTTATGTCCTATGTTTACTCTGTTCTAGGTGTAGTGCCTCTTTACTACTAGAACATTTTCTCCTCATCTCTCTAGTTAAGACAAGTGGTACCCAAATGAGTTGTCGTTTCTTTAAGGTGGTGTTCAGCTTGCCATTTTTGTGGCCTTTTGCTGAAAGACTTCAAAAAGTTATTCTTTCAAAAAACATAAATTATAATTATTTATATATGTCTATCATTGACCTGTAACTCTCTTGAAGTTAGCATTGCATGAAATATGAAATATTCCCGAAGAATAGAACAAAAACCAAACAGATTCCTTCTATTAATACTTTATAATGAGATAAATAACTTTTCAGAAACATAACCATTTCATAGTGACTTAACTGAGACTATTTTTTTAAAGGCAGCTCATGGGAGTTCAAATTAAAAGAAGCGTTCTTAATAAGCATGGAACAAGAACAAAATTCCATTAAACATTTAAAATCACTTGTGTATTTTAAAATGTTTAATGGCATTCGTCTCTTAAAGCCCTGCTCTCTGTGATGGGGATAGACATGCACAGCACACTTGAAAATTCTTTGGTTGCTCCCTGGACTGTTCTTGTTGAACACTGTCTCTCCTACTCTTCCATTTATCGGACTTCATGTGCTTTTCATCCATTCAATTGTCCTCAAGGATCAAAACCCATTTTCCTTTTTGGTAATGTTCATGATTTCTTCTCATCTCATATACTTATTTTACTTTTTAAAGAAAAAGATACTTTCCTTTGTTGCCACATTCTTAGGCTGCAGCCATCTTTTTCTTATATTTTATTAATTCCTTCTACTAATATTTCAGATATATAAATAAAATCCTTGTGATAGGTGAACAGCTTATGTCTTCATCTGGATGGGTTATGGAGACATTTTGTGTTTTCTTAAGAAAAACAAATTCAAGCCCAATCTTTCTCTCTAAATAGTCTCTAGTTTTCTATTGTATCTTTTATTTACATTTCTTATTTCAGTCAAATATACAATGTGATATAATTTCTCAAGAAGGAATCCTCTATTCCAAAAAGTAGACTCTTAGAGGGCCCTGAATTTTAAGATCCTATTTTAGTGTGAGCTGTCTACAAGGTCACATCCTCACTGGAAGACTGCACTAGAGCAACAATCATTTTTGTTCTTTATTGTTCTTACTTCATTTTCATTTTAGTGATTAGTGCAATGAGAGTCTAACAATTGTGTATTAAATTGTTGGAAAATAAACTGAGAACGTCAGGCCTTGCTGTTTTATCTGTTCCTCTCTTCTTCCCCTCATGCCACCTTGTAATCAAACCTGTTCACTCTCACGTCTCTATTCCTAGTACTGAACTCCAGGCTTTATTATAGTGCTCATTACACTTGGTCTTTGTGTTCTCTCCCTGTGTGCGCTCCTCAAATATGATGCCCAGGCGTTTTCCATCTCTGAGTACTCGGTGTCCAAAAAGGTTTGTTTTGAACTGATTTTGTTTGATTTTTTTACTTTTAGTATCTTTATAAATTAAAGTATTCTAAATTTTTTTCTGATTTTCAGAAACATTACAGAGAAGAATTTATTTATTTTTGGAGATTTTGATATAGTTTGAAAGAATTGTGTTAGAATAAATATCATTCCATTCCTTTGTTCCAGGCTCAGCTCTTGTCATTTTTATTTATTCGTCAGGAACTTGCAGATTCCAGCTGTCTAGCAGGAATCAATATATGTATTATTTCGGCTTTTCAATGTCAAACCTCAGAGTGACTTGAGTGAGATTCCCTTTATGGCAATGAAAATGTGACACTCTATTTAATAGAAAATATTGTTTGAGCAAAACATTTAAGTTTCCACTGAGACTTTATCAAATACAATTTAAGGTAATTTAAAGCAATTACGCATTCTCCAGGGGTATCGATAGGTGAACTTTTATGAGCAACTATTTCTAGGAGGTAATTTAAATATAAAATGTCCTAGCTATGTACATAATGATGGCAGTGTGGGGGGTGTGTGTGTGTGTAAAATCTTTTTATTTTGCCTAAATGTATCCACTTCAAAATTATTGTCACCAGTTTATGAACTCTAGTTTAGCCATTTCCATTTTCAAGTGCATCTGAAAGTCTTCCACTAGAATTAAATTACTCCCTTGAAATTCTCCTGAATTGACAAATAGACTCTACCCTTTCAGAGTGCTAAATCTAAGTGCTAAAAACAACAAAAAATAACAGAAAAATCCCTGTTTCTACTAGCAGGTATTTTCTCTTTCAATACCATTTAATTTTCATTACAAAATTTATCATTTATTTCCAGAATCACTCAATACACACAGAACTACAACCACTCAACTATGTCATTTAATTTAATAGCAATAGTAATAAAAGGTTATGTACAATGTGTGATTTTTTAAGCTAAAATTGAAATTGTACATTTCAAAGTGGCTGAAAGCTAACAGAAATTGCCATTTATTAAATAAACAAAAGCAAGACATAACATATATACTTTTGCTTCCCCTTAGGGTAAGAGGTTGCTGCAAGGTCACCTGGGATTTTACTCACCACCCTCAGCCTACAAGTGAAGTATCACTCTCACTCCCTGACTGACTGAAATGCGCTGGGACATGTAGATTTTTCAGAGGCTCCAAAGGAGTGGAGGATAAGAGTGGAAACTAGGTAAAAATGATTCTCATTTACTTAACATAGGGAAAAGTCAATGACAAGAGTCATTATCCTAGGTGAGAGTAGACTATGTTCAGCTTATTCTTAGAACAGCTCTGTTTATAGGCCATTTTGAGTATATGTAAAATGAAATTCTCTAATCATTTTCTTTCAAATGCAGACTATACTCTGTCTCCGTTTTCATATTTGTTAAATGGTAGATTTTTAAAGAAATCCTCCCAAACTTCCCTTTCAACCACGCTTTATTGAAATATAAATAAAAGTTCCATAGATATGATCAGGCAGTTCTCACCTGTTGTAGTGAGATTTGGGTAGAAGTCCTCATGCTGAGCTTTGTGTCCCTAGTGATGTTGGAACATTAATGATGGAACATGGCCAAACTTCAGTCATGTGCCTGAAGCCATGGTTTCTTCCCCGCCAGAAATGAAGGTTCAGTTGTAAGACAACCCTCTAGTAAGGCATTGCTAAAGTTACTGGATTTGGTTTAATAAAAGTTGAAATAAAGTATTTCAGTAATAGAAAAAAAAAACAAAATACACTTCTGTAATTATTTTTATAAAAGCTCAGTAAGGGGAGAAAGTGTCTATGATTTGTGAAGTAGTGAATTAGATTGGAGATATCAGTATAATCAGTATAATACAAATACAGAAGAAATACAGGAGAATAGATGTATAAGTATTTACAGATATAGGTATATATAAAATTTATTATATACATGTATATTGCTCTGTTAGGTGAGAGGGCCTAGAAGCACGGGTTTCTCAGTGGCAATGAACACTCTAAGTGCCCAAATCTTTCTTTACAACATCATTCTCCAATAAAATGAACCAGGGCTTCTCGGAGACATGATTGATTCTATGGCTGAATGAGGAAATGTAAGATGCCTGTGGAACATCTTATAGTGCCAGAAAGGGAGAAAGTGTTTCAAACACCCCCCGCACGTGCACTCACACACACGTTAACAGGGGTATGTCAGTGGGACACAGGAGTCAACTGAAAAAGCTCTCAATGGCCAAAGCTAGAAAAAATGTAGTAATTAGTAAAGGAATACTGGTTTATAACACAAAGTACAAAACAAATATCCATAAGTTCATATTAATATAACTAAATGATTAAATAAATAAATGGGTAGAATAAATAAATACCACATATAGAAGGATCCCAAGTAATTTATGTACATGCATTTATGGCGCAACATAACTCACCACTCCTTAATGTTAGGCTACACATAGTGATCTTCTCCCAAAGGTGCAGTATGAAAAAGAGAAAATATTAAAAATTAACTTTACAGTTAAAAAAGAGGAACTTAAGAAAACAGGTATCTCTACAGAAATCTGATGATGAGATATTGTAAAAACAATGTCTCAGGCAGATGTGTAAAGTTAGCATCATCGTGATAACTCAAGTTGATAGTATCTGCCTGGTGATAGAGTAGAGGGCCCTACACACACAGACACACACACACACACACACACACACATACACACAGAGCAGGATTTCTGCCCAGGAAGAGTGGGGTGGGTCAGGCTGCTGGTTTGGGCAAGCATGTGCTCTGAATGTCTGGCGATCTGCTTGCAGTTGTACTCTTGGATGCAGCTAAAAATCAAGGAGAAGAGAATGTCAGTTTACCTCTGTGTTCCTCTCTAAAACCCATGACCCCAATCTACTTCTGAGAAAAAACATCAGCCAAACTCCAGTTGATGAACTTTTCACAAAATACCTGACCAGTACTCCTCAAAACTGTCAAGTTCATAAAAAAATGAGATAGGTCTGAGAAACTCACAGTCTAGAGGAGCCTATGGAACTAAGACAACTAAATATAACATGGTATCTGGATGAGATCTTAGAGGAAAAGAGAACATTAGGTAACTGAGAAAATTTGAATAATGTATAAACTTTTGTTGATCCTAATGTATTATGACTTATTCATTATTTGTGAAAAATATACCATAGTAATAAAAAAAAAGGGGGGGGGAACTATAGGGAGAACTGGATATGGTCTCCTCTCCATACAGGAAATCTTTGTACTATAATTGCAACTTTTCTGTAAATTTTAAACTATTTTAGTGTTTGTATTTCCTTCCCCCCCCCCCCCAAGATGGTGGATTAGAGGTTTTTAGTCTGCATCAGCTACTTGGAAATAGCAAGACAGTGCAAAAACATCAACTCTGTAAGCTTGATGTTTAAAAGGAAAATGGGAACACACTGGAATTATGGATACTCCAGTTCCCAGGGAGGAGAACATGGGTGAACAGCCCCCATGAAGCGCCTAGCTGATAAAAGTGAGTGAAACCCCAGTATGTGAAAGAGACGGAGAGCCTCCTTCTATGACTCACTTTTCCACCAAAGAGTCAGACAATCCAGACTGAGGGAGAACACTTTCTCCCAAGCACTGGAGCTAACTTGTGGAGTGGCTTGGAGGCACTGAGAAGGAATGACACCAGGAGAGGCTGCAGGCATTTTTCCAGATCTGGGACTGACAGCAAGATGCCATTTTTCATCCCAGATCATACAAAATTATCCATTCTTTGGCAACACAGCAGTGTGGCTGTACAGACATTTCTGTTTGGGGCAAGAGTTTGGAGGACTTGTTCTGGAGTGAGTGAGGGGCCTCAACTGCGAGAACTGTGAAAAGCCCCTGAGTAGTAAATTCTGGAGTTGTGCTCTTCCCTCTCACATACCTGAGGTGGCAGGAGAACTGCTACTGTTGTGGTTTCTTCTGAGTGACAAGACTTGAAGACAAGCCCAACTTGATGACCTGGAACCACTCTGCATGTGTCATTGCTAGATACCTCAGGCTACTCTGCTGAAATCATGGTGCAGTAGAGCCCTCTCTATCACCAGGCAGAATTACAGGAATTTGGAGCACTCACTTGCCTGAGCCAGCAGCTTAAGCTACACCAGCCTTCACAGACATAGATTATGGTGCAGTGGGATCCTCTGCCCCACCCCTAAGCAGATCTCCAGGCATTCAGAGCACATGCTTTCCTGAACCACCACCAGACCCACCCCACTCTTCCTGTGCAGAGATCCTAGTGTGTGTGTGTATGCCCAGACAGATATCCAGATATGTGGAGCACTCACTATCATGGATTAAGTATTCAGGCTGCCCCACTTGCTGTAAAGAGAACTCGGGGCCCAGGAGGTTTCACAGCTCCATGTCTAGGCTGGCCTCTGGTTGCTTAGTGTCTGCGCTCTGGATTCTCACTCAGCACTGGTGATTGTGCCTGCCTTTGGAGGACCTGTAGGTTGTCCTGCCTAATCTGGCCATATTAATCTTGGTTTTCAAATCTCCCAGGGTGGAGCAGGAGCTCAGATCACTGTGCACTCCATGAATCAGCTCATTGCCTTAGGTAACAGAGAGCTTCTGAGACCCAGTAAACAAAGATATGATACACTCAGCTATGTTGGCTGCAGATAGCTGCTACCCATAAGCACTCTCTACTGGCTTGTAAGTCAAGCTGCACCACCCAATACAAAATCTGTTGAAAGAAGTGTGCAGGGTTATAGAAGCAAAGCCAATAAATATATCATACTCAGCTTTCTCTACTGTCACACCACCTAGGGAAAAGGAAAAAAAAAGGAAAGTTAAAGGAAATAATAATATTATACGGAAAGAAAGGAAAAAATCCTTCTTGCATGAAAATAATTAGAAAAGTATGTGCCAGTGTTCTTAGGTGAGAAGAAACAAGCACAAGAACTCTGGCATCAGGAAAAATCTGAATGTAGGATTCACCAAAGGCTCTCACCAGCTCTCCAGTAATGAATCCTAACCAAAATGGAAACTCGGAAATAAATAAAGAATTCAAACCTAGGACTGCAAGGAAGCTCAATGACATCTAAAACAGGGTAGAAAATCAACACAAATAAACTTCTACCCCAATCCAGAAAATGAAGGAAGAGATAAAAATCCTAAAAGGAGCAAAGCAGACCTTCTAGAATTGAAAAAAAAAAAAAGTAATTTCAAAATAAAATTGAAAGATTTATCATTAGTCTAAACAAAGCAGAAAAATTTTAGAACTTGAAGATCAATCTTTCACAGTCAGACAAAAATAAAGAACAAACATTTTTAAGCAAACATAATTGAGAAATTTGAAATTCTATAAAGTGACCAAACCTATGTATTATTAAAATTCCTGAGAAGGGAAAAAAGGTAAACAAATAGGAAATTAGTAAATTTCCTATTTACTAGTAAATTAGTAAAAAATTTCTCTAATCTTGCAAGAGAGATGATAGACATTCAGATACAAGAAATTCAGAAAACATCTTAAAGATAATATATGAAATGAACATCACCAACTCATATAGTCATCAGACTGTCCAAGGTTGACACTAAGGAAAAAAATCCTTAAGGCAGATACTGAAAAAGTCAGATCACATACAAAGTAAACCTGACCAGGCTAACAGCAGATTTCTCAGCAGAAACTTTAGAAGCCTGGAAATATGGGTCTATTTTCAGTATTTTTAAACAGAAGAAATTCCAAGTGAGAATTTCATATCCCACCAAACTAAGCTTTATATGTAAAAAAAGAAATAAAATCTTTTCTGGGCAAACAAGGACAAAGAAAATTTGTTACCATGAGACCAGCCTTACAAGAGATACAAGGTTCTAAATATGGGAATGAAAGAACGATACTGGCTACCATAAAACCACACTTAAGTACATAGCCAACAGCGCCTGTAAAGCAACCATATAGTGGAAACTACAAAGCAACCAACTAAAAACTTCACAATAGGATCAACACCATACATATCAAATATTAACCTTGAATGTAAACAGTTGAAATGTTCCATGTGAAAGGCACAAAGTTGCCAGTTAGATAAATAAGATTCATCCATCTGCTGTATTCAAAAAACTCACCTCACACATAACAACACTTACAGGCTCAAATAATGAACTGCAGAAAGATCTATCACTAAAATGAAAAAAAAAAAAAAAAAAAAAAAACAGAAGTTGCTACTCTTATATCAGATAAAGTAGACTTTATCACCAACAGAAAAGGACAAGGAATTCATTACATAATGATAAAATGTTCAATTTAACAAAGATATGTAACTATTCTAAATGTATACACACTCAACATTAGAGCACCCAAATTTATAAAACAATGACTTCCAGGTCTATGGAAAGACTTAGACAGCCAGGGAGTAATACTGGGGGACTTCCATACCCTACTGCCAGTGTTAGATAGATCATCGGGGCAGAGAACAAACAAATTGAGGACTTAAATTTGACACTTGACCAATTGGACTTAATAGACATCTACAGAACACTCTACCCATCAACCTCGGAATACACATTTTTCTTATCTGCACACAGAACATACTCCAAGATCAACCACATGCTCAGCCATAAATCAAGTCTCAATCATTTAAAAAAAATGAAATCATACAAACTATATTATTGGATCACAGTGGAATAAAAATAGGAATCAATACCAAGAAGATCTCCCGAAACTGCACACTTAAACTTAACATCTTCCTAATTGACATTTGGATAGAAAACAAAATTAAGGCAGAAATCCAAAAATTCTTTGAACTAAATAAAACAGAGACATAACATACCAAAATCTCGGAACACAGTAAAAGCTGTGTTAACAACCTACCATCAAATCTAGGGAGACTAGAAAAACAAGCATAATCTAGCCTTAAAGCTAGCACAAACACAAATAATTAAAATCAGAGCAAAACTGAACCAAACTGAGATGCAAAGAATCCATACAATCAATGAAAGTGAAGTTAGTTTATTGAAAGGATTAAAAAGATTAATAGGCCACTAGCTAGATTAATAAAGGGAAAAAAAAGATCCAAATAAACAGTCAGAAATGACAAAAGAGACATTACAACTGATCTCACAGAAATACAAAAGATCCTCAGACACTATTATGAACACTTTTATGCTTACAAATCAAACTCTAGAGGAATTGCATAAATTCCTGGAAACACATAACCTCCCAAGATGGAATCAGGAAGAAATTAAACAAATAACAAGTTCCTAAATTGAATCATTAATAAAAAACCTACCAACCAAAAAAATCCCTAGGCCACATGAATTCAAAGCAGAATTCTAGGAGATGTACAAGTAAGAGCTGGTACCAATTCTACTGAAACTATTCCAAAAAACTGAAGAGGAGGGACTCTCCATAGCTCATTCTATGAAGCCAGCATTGCCCTGGAACCAAAACCTGGCAAACACAAGATGATTAATAATAAAACAACTATAGGACAATAAGCCTGATGACTGTAGACACAAAAATCCCCAACAAAATACCATCAAACCAAACTTAGCAGGACATCAAAAAGTTAATTCACCATGATCAAGTAAGCTTGATCCCCATGATGCAAGGTTGGGTCAACATATGCATATGCATATGAATGAATGAGTTTCACCACATAAGGAGAATGAGAAAAACCATATGATCATTTCAACAGATAGAAAGTCTTCAGTAAAAAATCCTATATCCCTTTATGATAAAGCTCTCAACAAATTAGTGATTGAAGGAACATATCTCAGAAAAGTAGAGCTATCTCTGAAAAACCTACAGCCAACATCACACTGAGTGGTCAAAAACTGGAAATATTTCTGTTGACAATTGGAACAAGACAAGTAAGCTTACTCTCAGCACTCCTATTCAACATAGAACTGGAAGCCCCAGCTAGGTTATTAGGCAAAAGAGGGTAATGAAGGGCATCCAAATAAGAAAAGATGAAGTCAAACTATTTCTCTTTGCTGACAATATGATTCTATAGATCAAATACCATAAAGATTCTGCCAAAAGTCTCCTGGAATTGACAAACAGCTTCAGTGGAGCTTCAAAATAGAAGGTCAATGTACAAGAATCAGTAGCATGACTTTAAATCATACTATAAGGCTATAGTAGCAAAAACAGCATAGTACTGGTACAAAAGCAGACACATCGACCAAAGAACGGACTAGAGAACCGACATATAAAGATGCACACTTGCAGCCATCTGATCTTTGACAAAGTTGACAAAACTAAACAATGAGAAAAGAACTTTCTGTTCAGTAAATTGTGCTGGCATAACTGTCCAGCTATATGCAGAAGAATTAAACAGAACTCCTACCTTTCACTGTATATGAAAGCCACAAATACTATGCAGCCATAAAAAAAACACTGAGTTTATGTCCTTTGTAGGGACATGAATGAATCTGGAAACCATCATTCTCAGCAAACTGACACAAGAACAGAAAATCATACACACATGTTCTTACACATAGGCGAGTGTTGAACAATGAGAACACATGGACACAGGGAGGGGTGCATCACACACTGGGGTCTGCTGGGTGGCGGCCAGGGGAGAGAGAGTTGTGGGTGAGGAGGTTGGGGAGGGATAACATGGGGAGAAATGCCAGATACAGGTGACGGGAGGATGGAGACAGCAAACCACCTTGCCATGTATACCTATGCAACAATCCTGCATGATCTGCACATGTACCACAGAACCTAAAGTACAATAAAAAAAAGAAGCTCAATTTCCCTACAACAGCTTCTGTCAATAAATGTTTTCTTATTGAAAAGGCAATGTGTAAAAATTTGTCTTAGAATTTTCTACAAACATAATTTATATTATCCATGGTTCATAGGGTCCATTTTGCTTGACAAGTTTGTTTTGCCACATGTGCTGAATATTAAAAGAAACAGTTCTTAGAAGAAAGTTAACAAAAGTCTATCTTGTTAGTAATACTGGAACACTAAACTCTTACACCTAAGAATTGTTAAGTCATCATACCTGTATTTGCCTAAATGTTGAAATGACTCAACTAAAATAACATTTTCTTTCTTTTCTTTTTTCTGATTAAAATGAAGATAAGAAGGTGTGTTCAGTTCATCAAGAATTCTCAGTGATTCATATTATTCAGGTAATTATTTTTCTTTCCACTGAAATGACTTGGTATTTTCTTCAAGTTCCCAAATGTTTTTCATAAGAATTGATATATTAATCCTCATGATCTGAAGGAGTTTTAAAAAATTAATTGCTCCTATGTTTGAGGAGTTGCACTTAATTATCTAACACTGAAAGTTTTTCTACAGTACATTTCCCTGTTTTATCATGTTCTTGTTCAACAAGATAATTTTTATATTACAATTTGGTTTTTTCCATGGTGCCTCCCTTCCAATGCAAACCTCTCAGCTAGCCCAATGGAATTAATGTCATGCATTGATCAATGCGTGAATTACTAAAAACTCTCAAAGGTGCTCTTCCATAGCAGTGCTCTTCCCTGCTTACTTGTTGCTTAGATGATGGTTAAGTCTCTCTTTTTTTATTATTAGTATTATTACTATTTACTAAATGGCTTTCTAAATTATATATGCTCGAGAAGACATCATTGAAACAAGAAAGGTGATCCTACAGTTGGACTACTTGCATTTGAATTCTACACTAGTTGCACGATCTTGGACAAGTTGCCTAGTCTCCAAATGCCTTTGTTTCCTAACTTGCAAAATGAGGATAATAACAATATCCTATTCATAGAAACATTTTGAATGCTTGTAAATGAGAAAACACAGGCAGAGCACTTAGCAGTGAACATAGAATATTCTTGGTATAAAATTAATGCTAATTATTAGTGCTATGTTAGTGCTGCAGCTAATGCCATGAAAAATTTCAGACTTTGAGCCCCTCAAGAGGAGAAATTGTTTCTTACTCATCTTTGTATTCTCGGCAAAAAACAGAGTGCCTAACATAAAGTGAATGCTGTAAAATAATGGTTGTCTTAGTAAATGAATGTATGAATAAATGTGATTACAGGGTCTATTCTCTACTAGTACTTTTGTGTATTTACCTTTTTTTGTATCATTTGACAACAAGGTGTCTTTATCATCACCATCATCATGATCATTATTTCCATTTTGCCTGTTTAAAGACAATAACCCATTCCTTTTGAGTTTCCCATATACTAACTTAAATGGTTTATAATATGTAAAATAAAGTGGGATACAAAAAAAATGGTGAAGATGATGTTGGAAACATACATTTTTAATACCCCTCTCTTCTAACTCCTGCCAAAAAAGTACTCACAAAATAAAATAAATATGATGGATGAATGGATGGGAGAAATCTTAGTGCATTACAGATTTTATGACTTTCACAGAAGATTGTCTGGGATGCCTGAGTGAGCCCAGGGCTTCTAAATTAACAGTAGAATCTGGGGAAATACCCATAGAATACATGGCTGTTGCAGGTGTCAGAGCATTGCTTTGATGATTTGACGAGCTGTCTGTCATATACATATTCTGCCGGTGGACTCTGAGTTGATGATGGAACTTTAATTGCTTCATTATGTCTTGCAGAATAACACAATCTTCCCCTGTACATGAAGAAACCTGGAAGCAGAGAAGCCATCCACTCTCCTCATGTCCCTCAGCCAGTGATCCACTGCAAAAGTAAGTTCATGTTCTCCAACTGGTTTATCACTTGCTGCCAGTGAACAATTTCTGTACCTGGGAAACAATATCCATGAAGATAAAAGTAAATATCCTTATTTACAAGGACTTGAGGATGTAAGGGAATGGAGGAAAGCTCAAAATTAAAATTGTTAGCCTCTATGGAGGCAGTAGAAAACATTTAGGAGTGATATTAAAAACTCTTAAAGAGAAAAACTTAAGACACAAGAACAATGTAAAGAAATAAGATCATATCTAAATGTAAGTATTCAATAGATAAATTGGAAAAAAATCTGATACACATGTTCTTTTTTAAAGTATACTTTAATTTCTGGGGTACATGTGCAGAATGTGCAGGATTGTTACTTACGTATCTATACATGTGCCATTGTGATTTGCTACACTCATCAACACGTCATCTACGTTAGGTATTTCTCCTAATGCTATCTCTCCCCTAGTCCCCCACCCACCGACAGGCCCTGGTGTGTGACGTTCCGCTCCCTGTGTTCATGTGTTCTCATTGTTCAACTCCCACTTATGAGTGAGAATATGCAGTGTTTGGTTTTCTGTTCTTGTGTTAGTTTGCTGAGAATGATGGTTTCCAGCTTCATTTGTGTCCCTGAAAAGGACATAAACTCATCCCTTTTTATGGCTGCAAAGTATTCCATGGTGTCTATGTGCCATATTTGCTTTATCCAGTCTATCTTGGATGAGCATTTGGGTTAGAGTTTTTGTTATTGTGAACAATGCTGCAAAAAACATAAGTGTGTGTGTATCTTTATAGTAAAGTGATTTATAATCCTTTGGGTATATACACAGTAATGGGATTGCTGGGCCAAATGGTATTTCTAGTTCTAGACCCTTGAGGAATTGCCACACTGTCTTCCACAAAGGTTGAACTAATTTACATTCCCACCAATAGTGTAAAAGTGTTGCTATTTCTCCACATCCTTTCCAGCATCTGTTGTCTCCAGATTTTTTAATGATCACCATTCTAACTAGTGTGAGACAGTATCTCATTGTGGTTTTGCTTTGCATTTCACTAATAACTAGTGATGATGTGCTTTTGTTCATATGTTTGTTGGTTGCATAAATGTCTTCTTTTGAGAAGTGTCTGTTCAGACCCTTCGCCCACTTTTTGATGGAGTTGTTTGTTTTATTATTGTAAATTTACTTAATTTCTTTGTAGATTCTGGATATTAGCCCTTTGTCAGATGGATAGATTGCAAAAATTTTCTCCTATTCTGTAGGTTGCCTGTTCACTCTGATGATAGTTTCTTTTGCTGACAGAAGCTCTTTAGTTTAATTAGGTCCCATTTGTGAATTTAGGTTTTTGTTGCCATTGCTTTTGGTGTTTTAGTTATGAAGTCTTTGCCCATGCCTAAGTCCTGAATGGTATTACCTAGCTTTTCTTCTAGGGTTTATTAAGTAGTAGGCTTCACAAACTTAAAAAAAAATCCCATAATAACAACAACAAAAAATATAAACCATAAGAAAACATACTAATGTCTTTAAGGGCAGATTCAAAAGCACTAACATACAAGTAATGTTCTTCCAGGAAGAAAAATAATAAAAGATAGATATCATAGTTAATAAAATTATGAAAAGAATCTTACCTCAATAGAATGGTGGGTTTGTGTAGTTGGTCACTAACTGCACTGATACAGCAGATGTAAAATGAGGCTGTTAAAGGATATATGAGTATCTTAGTTATAAAATATAAAATTAGAACAAAATGAACATGATAATTTAAAAATTATAAAATATAATGAATAACATGATTTCCAAGATGACAATAATATCATCTAAAGTAGACTTCAAGGACAAAACCACTGACAAAGTCATTGTCTATTGAAGAAGATGAAATAGCATAGTAGAGAAACACATAAAGGAAAGAACTACTACTCTATAAATGTAATAAAAAAATTCCTATGATTGAAATACTCATCTATAAGAATTTATCAGGCTGGGCACAGTGGCTCATGCCTGTAATTCCAGCACTTTGGGAGGCCAATTTGGGCAGATCACTTGAGGTCAGGAGTTCAAGACCAGGCTGGCCAACACGGTGAAACCCTGTCTCTACTAAAAATACAAAAATTAGCTAGGCATGGTGTGCGCACCTGTAATACCAGCTACCTGAGAGGCTGAGGCATTGGGATTGGCTGAACTCAGGAGGTGGAGGTTGCAGTGAGCCAATATCACCGCACTGCAATCCAGCCTGGGGGACAGAGTGAGACTCTATCTAAAAAAAAAAAAGAATTTATCAGATCAAATAAACAAAAATATTCACAGATTTTAAAGATTTCCAATGGTTAATAACATCTAATATATATAAATTTTTGTATGCACATATACATATTTGTGTGTCACATATACTACTTATATAGTAATACTTATGCCATCTCTATATATGTAGCATATATAAATATGAGGTATACAAATACACACACACACACAAGTGTTCATTATAGTCTTATGATATGGAATATCTTTGAAAATATGTCTTACACTTGTCAATATATTTAAAAAGTAATGGATATTTTAGGTCAGTATCTAATTGCCTTAAAATAAAACTAAGTCAACACTGAAAAGATGGCCAAATAATTTGAAGTTTCTGGAAAAGAAGAAACAAAATTGCTATACCAATAGATTGTTGTCAAATTTTATGAAAACTCTTCCCAGGCCAATCCCAACTCAATTTCAAGTGCTAATAGTCAAAACCACTAAGAATTTCCAGTAAATTATTTTAGGGTTCTTTTACTTCTATGATTTTAGTAGATAACTGAACTCAAGTCAACCCAAACCCTAGTATGATTTTCTACCAATCAGTGAAAGAGCAAAGCCCCAGGGGACTCAATTAAATTCAATCTCAGGATAGAATATAGTGAAAATGTCTGTGATGAAAAAAAATTATCATCAGCTAAGGATGAGCATTTGAAGAATAGTACAGAAGAACTTTATGGGAAGTGTCCAATATATAAAATAGAATATTTCACAATGCACTTTTTATATATAGTCGTAGGCAATAATTCAGGCCAGCATGCATCTACTTTCCAAAGGAATTATACAAGATTTCCCTTCCTAGAATGCATGATGTAGCAAGGTTTTACGAAGTAAAATTAGAAACCAAAACAGAACTTGCAAGAACAACAGAAATAGAATTGTTAAGCTCTTTTAGAAACAGAACAGATGGTCTCTAAGGTAAAGAAGCTAATAATTCGTTCATGAGCAGAAATTTCTGATATTAGTAATAGGTCATAGCAATGTCGTGGTGAAAAGGAGAATAGAAATCAGAGCCACGGAAACATGATGACAAAAGATTATCAAGTTTGTGAACAGGACCACAATTCCACTTTCTCCTAACTGTAAGGAGAATAGAAATCAGAGCTACGGAAACATGATGACAAAAGATTATCAAGTTTGTGAACAGGACCACAATTCCACTTTCTCCTAACTGTAAAAGGCTTCAGCCCTCAAATAACCCATACTAGGAAATGACTGATAGTAGTAAAATAGATTCTGCTGAAGTTATCCCAGGACATTATTCCTAATTTTATTGTTATATATCTGTAAACTCTTGTCTGAATTATTTTCTTAATTTATTTAAAACTATTTTTTACCTTTTACTGATATTTCACATTATATCATAAAAATGAAAATAAATAGGAAATCACACACAAAAATCATCACCCATAACAAAGCCCACACAAACATAACATTTTGATTTTATCTATCTATCATTTAGCTTAATATGTTTTACAGATTTTCTACATCACTAGTCACCTCTATATAGAATGACATATAGTAACATATTGTAATTACAGCATACTATTTAACTATATTTATTCAAAAGCAAATTCTTAATAGATACTTGCAAGGTATCAGGTAATGTTTTAAGTCATAAGAGAATTATCAGGTAGCAAATGGTGTCCAATAGCAGAGAATACAATGAAGAATAATAAAGCAGGTCAAGTAAAAAAGGGGTAGGATTAGAGTAACTTTTCTATATAAGGAATAAAAGACCTCACTAAAGTTTCACTTGAGTTCATACCTGTAGGGAGTGAGAAAGTGAACCAAGTGAATACATGGGGCAAACACTGCAGACAGAAAGAAAAGAGCAAGGGCAGGGACAGTGAGGCTTGGATGTGTTTGGCATTTGAGAAAAAGCAAGAAATTCAAAGAGGTTTAGGGGTGTTGGTAGAAGAGATCAGAGAGGGTGACAGGTAAAGCATATTTCAGATGTAGAGTCAAGGTTGAGGACCTTGAATTTGAATGCTGGGTGAGACATTATGTCACCGGAAGATTTTAAGCAGAGAAGTGACATGATCTAACATATTTTGAAAGTGCCACTGTAGCTACTGTGTTGAGAATAGGCATAAGAGAGAAGGCAGACCAAAGGACAGAAAGAAAGAGACCAAGAGAATAGTTAGAATAATTCTGGAGCTCAAAGATGGGAGCTAAGACCAGATAGAAATGGAGACGATGAGAAGTATTTGGGATCTGCATATGCTTGGGAGGCAAAGTCAGTAAGATTTACTAGTAAATTCAATGTTGGGAAAGGGCAAGCATGATTTTAAAAAATGTATTTAGTAATACATTTTTATTAGACAATTTGATTGAGATATAGTCTAGATGCAGAGGATGTGACTGGTTGGGCTCATTTAATATCTACGAAGTCCAGTAAAATACCAGTCGTATAACAGATACTCCAGAAATATGTGTTGAATTAATGAATGAATGTAGGAAACTGTATATTGTTTATTTTAAAAAGTGAATGGAATTCACATAGTCTAATATGAAATACTGTAAGAGTTCCTTCAAATAGCTTTAAGAAATGATATCAAAACAAAACCCTACAAAATATTGCTGTCAGCATTCTGAGGTCCAAGGCAGGATGGATAAGATATCAAGATACCTTGTCATAGAATAAAGATGAAACTGGGATAAGCCTGTTAACCTCATTTTATTTAAAAATATCGACATATTTTGTTTTCTGTCATAGATACTTAGTTATTTTATCATGTGTTCCTCACAGAGTGATGTTTTCCTTAAAAATTAAAATATATGTATATATGAATATTTAAATAATGTTTTCCCCACATAGATTATATGAGTCATTTAAGACCATCTAATGCCTCTCTTTGTAGTAGCTCTTATTTCACGCAGTATTATCTTTCTCCCACAGGAATTGTATATTAGCAATAATGTATCTAAATAACCCTTACAATTAATTTTTCCAGATAGCAAAAATTTCCAAAAAGTAAAATATCCAAACATATTTATCTCTTCTTTAGTTATTAATATTTTAAGTCATACCCCAAA